GCGCTATGATTACACCAGCCTGCCCTGCCTTACGCTATCTTTGAAACTCCAGCGCAACACAAGATGAACAACCTTTCACAAACACAAAAGGTACTGTACAATGTGTGTAAATCCCCACAGCTGTCTCTTAACTCAAGGCTACCTGGATCGCAGAGTCAGGTCGAAGCGCTCAACACAAAATGTAAAAAAATAAAAGTAGCTAGCTGTGTAGCTACATGCTAGGTGTCTGAGGTAGCGAGCTACGTGTTAGCAGCTAACTTTAGCATTGTTGTTACTATGCGGCAGTGGCAGAAGTTACAGTTAGATTCGGCGTCTGAGTTTGTTTTGATATGCTAACCACATGTTTAAACGCCGTCCAACATTAAAACAACGAAGCGCAGTAAGTAAGGTTATTGGGAAATCAGGCTGCATAAGATATTAGCTGAAGCTAACAGCAAACAGTTAAACCCAGTTACGTAAAACCCCGACTTTCCAGTTAGCTACGTAACCTGACCCCGAGATAAGGGAATAAGAGTATGTCTCCGGTGATAAACGACAAGAGTTACATTTGTTTTAATGATTATTCTTTACTTGGCATAATGGATGCTCGTTTCTCAATATGTGCAACCAGTTTTCTAACTAAAAATATTAATAGAAACTTAGCTGGAGAATTGTTTTTATAAAAGGTAACAGAATAAAGCCTTGCTTTGTAATGTGTATTTATGTGTGTTTTTTAAGCTCTGTTGTTGTGTTCCTTTAAATGTCTTTGTTTTATTTTTGTTTAATTTTCAAACAAAAGTTCTGATTTGTTGCTGTTTTTTGTTATTCCATGCTATTTTATCCAGCACAGTCACTTTCACAGTCCAACATTAACTTTACATTTTATTCGGCAGTTTTAGCAAAAGGGGAGCCATGGACAATTCAGGCAGGCCTTACAGGACGATGCAAGGAAGCTGGGAGAGGGAACCTGCGGCAGCAGACAAGGCAGAACACTGGAGAACGCACGATCAGGTTAGGGGACAGAACTCGAGATCCGACGGAGGTCAGCAGGGGAAACGGAACCAGGGTGGGCCCTACAAAGCCAGCCCCAAGAGGGGAGGACTGGGACCCCTGAGCCACTCACCTGGTGGGTTCAAAGGTGGTCAAAGTCCATCCCAGAGAGATGACTTCCAGTTGTTCTCAAGTCCTGAGAGCAGTGGTTTGAGTCGTGAGGATAACTGGAGAGTGCGCGCACAGCAGCAGCAGCAGTGGAGGAGAAATACTCAGGGAGAGGGGTCAACAGAGGACACGAGGAGAGGAGAGGATGACTTTACTCATAAATCTGGTGAGGATTTGGTGTCTCACATTTGTTGATTAAATTTTACACTACCWGAAAAAAACTACCTGAATGACAATCCTTGCTTTTGTCTGTAATCATTTTGTTCACGTTTATGACACATGTACACACGACTGACATTCGCTACTTCCTGTTTTTGTAGGAAGAAGACACAGAAACAGGAAAAAAAAGAACCCTTTTGCAGAAGAGGACAGGGGCCTTGCATCTGAAGAGTCCTCACTCTCAGTTCAAGAGCTGCAAAGTCTACGGCAAGCCGAAAAGAGACTTAAAAAAGACGAGATCTACTACCTGAAGAAGGTACTAACTAGTTTTTACTCTCTTTTCTTTTTAGACTTGTGTTTTTGACAAAGTATCCTAATAATTTATGAAGCATGACTGAGTACATTTTAACGGTGGAAGTTTTTCCTCTTGACTGTTGATTTTCATTTTGTACGTTTGATTCAGAAACCCCACGGCCACCCTGGTGCGTTTTACACYTGCGCTCTGTGTGACGTTCTCCTAGATTCTATACCTCACGCCTACAAGCATATCAGAGACAAACGGCACAAGAAAAAGGCCCGGGTGAGAAATTATCAAAATCTTAGTTGCTGTTTATGTGCTGTGACCATTTTTAGCTCTGTAGTTTTGTTTACTGGTCATTGTTCAGTAATAGTCCATTTTAAAAACCGGAGTGAACGTCTTTCTGCCTCTCTGGCTACGYTCATACTGCAGACAAATCCAACCCAAATCCGATTTTTTATGACAGTCTGAGCGAGACAAATCCGATTTTTTCAAATCCGACCCAGGCCGTTTCAGTATGTGGTTTTTAAATCGGATATATATCTGATGTTTTCAAAGTGACTGCAGTGTGAACGCTCATG